GCTAAATTATGAAAATGGAAAAGACTGACATTTAAGCGGTAACAAACTGAAGTTTATTTCTCCCGCCACTTATTCCTCATCATGCGTCGAAGCCAGCGTTGTATGCCGCTCAGCCGGCATTCTTACCTCATCTTCAGAACAGCTGCATCCGTACCTCACAAATTTATCACAGAATTTATTTTTATTATTTTATTTTATTATAAAAGGCAAGGTGAAGGCGGAGTTTTGTGGGAAGAGTAAATCCTATCCCAGCCAAAATATTAGACAGGTTTCAAAAGCGCTCGAGGTTAGAGCGATCCACCTGTTTCACGTGTAGGTCAATTATGCTGAGTGGGTTCCTCATCACCTTTGACTTCCGGACGTTAAGGAAGAGGCTAGATTCCGCAGATGTATTGCATGCGGAAGTAACCAGGTGACAAAGCCCGTTTCCCATAATGTTTACAAGTACAATATCATCTGTGTACTCCACGTCTAGTAAGATATCTAGGAGAATATTTTGAGCGGTGCCTTCCCTCTAGAATGAGGTCTTCGTATTTTGCGCTCTCAGCACTATTTTGGAGAAGAAAGTCGGAAGCAATGTTGAATTGCAAAAGTGAAGCTACATCCCCCTGGAGAATTCTACAATTAATCGGGAACTATTCAAATAGCTGTCCTTCAGCTATGACAGGAGATATGGTTCCTGCATATATCTGCTCCAAAATGGTAACAACGTGTCCAGGTATCCCATAGCATTTGAAAATTTTTCACACTGTCCGACGATGTAATGAATCAAAATCTTATTTCTCATAAGAAATAAATTTTTCTTTTTTTGCACTACGTTTTCTCCGTTAAATCCGGTGTCAACATTTGTAATAATAGGATGGCATATGGTCAACAGTCACTTGCAACGAGTCGGCGTTTTGCAGTGCTCGTATTTACCGTCAATTCCTTTCTCTTAGCAGCATTACCTGTAAATACATGAACATAGCCGTTCCGTCATTCAAGTATTCATCGGGATAATGATTTATGCGTGTGCGGTTAAAACGACGGCACACTACACCGTACTTTGCTGAAGGCACATCTCCGTACTTGGGTTACCAGCGGACAAAATCTACGATATCTCTGTCCAGCTTTAAGTCATAACAAATTATTTCGATTCCGTTCGCCCACAATACTGTCGTTTACCCGCTGGGTGTCTGATTTTCTGAATGTGCAATCTCTACTCCAATCGGCAGCAGGGTTCACGTCAAAAAATGAATGCCCATTTTATTAAGCATTGGTCTCTTGCTAGCAGGTGTGTCGTTGCTCAACTAATCTGCGCATTGTAAATTGATTCGCATTCGCTGTTAGTTCAGCCAGGTGTCATGGAATCCAGCTTATGTCGGAGAGAAAATATTTTACAGTTCGTCCATTGAACAAGATTTATGCTGAGATGCGATTGGTCTGTTTTTCCCAAATTCTCGGGAAAAATCTTTTGCATTCATCGGGCAACTTGCACCGGCACCAGTCGTAGACGCGTTTTTACCACCTGCTCATCATCAACCTTTGTCAAGCCAACCTGTGCAGAGCATAGGGTGTTTGTCATCATGACCGCTCTGCGGAACCAACATGACCGACGTTTGAGACGATTTATGTATGATTTCTGCGTGAATCTGTGCACTGACCACTTGTCATGTATTCCCGGGCTTAAATGCCTCATTCCGATCATTCTTACTGTACTTTTTAAGGTTATGAAAGATCATTTTTTACCTACGCCACTTTTCAGCACTCGTTTTGGACGCAGTGCGCAGATGACAATTAGAATCTCCCTTAAATGGATCATTTTCGCTACCAGGAGATGTTCAGCGTACAGTTTAGTGATGTCGAGCCAGCAGGTAACAGGCAACGCGAGAGAAACCGTGCTAGGGAGAACTAAGTTTTTTAAGCGCTAACCTCAAAATGAACTTATCAGCCAAATGCACGAGTTTTCGATCAGCCTTAGCAAACTCGATCATCGACTTTTTGTAACAGTACGTCATCGGCAGCTTTTCAATATTCCTCAAAACGTGCTTAGCAAGCGTCGCTCAAGAGGTAGTGAGCTTCCACCAGAATGATGAATCCAGTCGAAACCAGAACTTTCTTGTGTAGCTTTAGCCAACATGCATGAATAAGCATTTTTCTTAGTTATTACACGTTAAGTAGTACGCATTTACTGATGCAAATCTGTCTCCTCTTAAACAACATGTTTAATTGGACAAATAATAAGTTTTCATAAGCCTTAAGCGTATTACGCTACTATCTGATGAGCTATTTTTCACTTATACCTCAAATAACGAGGACATGTCATAAAATGCTTTTTTCAAGCTGAATTTTGGGGGCATTGTTGCAATGTCAGAAAATTACGTGTCATTCAAAGAAATTACAATGATTATGACACCCTAGTTCCCAATTATGGAGAGAAAAAAATGAAAATCATAATGAACGTCCTACGCCGCTGGGTAATCTGGTAGTAACGCATCGAAACGGAAGATTGTTAGCAATTGTCACTGATCCAGTTACACAACGATTATCCGACCTGAACAAGGCCATTGTCTTTTATTGGAAATGGACGATTCATCACTTCCAACGGTTCCACTTAGCCTCGCAACTGCACTATCTCCCTTCCTCTCAGGGGATAGAGTAAATATGAGTGCCCTGTAAATGTGAGTAAAAAGTGATGAAAGCAATTAGCATCATAAGGGTAGATATCCTCGCCAATCTTTTCACTATATATTATCACGGTTCTGTGATGAACGCAGCCAAATACTATACTGTAGTCGCAAAGCTTTATCTGATTTTAGCTGTACCATTCACGGTCATTCAGAATTAATGCTTGGGACTTCAGACGACCATCTGAAATGTCCTAAATCTCAGCAGATCGGGTTACATGTGTTACGAAGATCTGACACATACGTCTTAACGTCATTAACTAACCAAGCAGCAGCTAGGACTGATTAATATCAGTAAGCTGCAAACCAATATATATAATAACTGTAAAATAATTAGTACCACCTGATGGCTCTGTGCGTCTGAATTGAGGAAAAACTCTATATGGCCTCTGAAACCATTATTTTATGCCAGCTTGGAGAGGCAATTTTTCTGGTGTTTATTAAACGTCAATTTCTGATGATGTCATGTTTCTAAGTATAAATATTCCTCAAATGTATGTCACCTCCCGACTAGCAAAGCAGACAAATGATGCCGCCACTTCAGAGAGATGTGCATTCGCGGAAACGTTTTATGTGACTTTGCAGAACTTCGTCTAAGAAAAGAAGGAATTCTCCTTTCCTCTTGTTCATTGGCACAGTAAACCAGATAATATCTGAGTCCTTCGACCAATTTGCCCTTGAGTAATCATCTATTCAAAAAGTATAGAAAATACTGAAATGAGTTGTAGGACATCTTCTGTGCTCAAGAAAAATGACGAGATCTGTCAACTACGACACTAGAGCCTCCCGAGCCAAACATCTTTGGATGAGAAACAACACCTCATATCAGCTAAAGGGGAGGTGCATACTCTAACGTACTTAGCTTGGTCAAGCTATTCCCTGGCTTTTACACTGTCCGCCAACCGCCCCCCCCCCGCACAGCAAAGATCCAAAAGTTGAATTCCGGAGAGCCTCTAAGCGAAATCACATGTGTGACTTAAATAAAGTGTTTGATGGTCTGATTTAAACATAAAAGCATGTCGAGCTGCACTAAATTCTGCCAGATTGGGAACTGCGTTTTACTAATAATCTTATCCTACCCATTGTTCATGTAGGAAGACCATTCATTTTAAATCCTATACTCTTAAAAATGCCATTCAAAAAGTGATGTGACGCAAAAGTAAGTCAAAAGGAGCACTGCACTACCGCGAACTGTGAGAGCTGCATAGCTGGCCTTGTGTTATTGGACAAATATAACTTTATATTCAACATGAGTCAAGAGCTATAAAAGCTATATATTGTAAAAGGGACGCTACCTCATCAAATCCTTCGGAATCCATGAGATCCATGAGACTATATATCTGACGGATAATAGCTCTGTTGGAGCCGATTCCGCCATCTTCTTTCACAGCCAGTTGAGGGCTCATCGCACGAGTAACAACTGCGGCAGAGAACGCTTCCGTGTCTGTCAGCGACGCCTCTATCGCATTCATCACATCCGTAATTTCGTTTTTGCAAACGATGCCATTGTCTTGAAGCTTCTGCATAATCGGAGCGACCTCCTGTTCAGGAACAGCTACGCCGCTACCCATCGTATTGAAAATGTTCAGGAGTTGCATCAGCGGAATCAGAAGACGTTGCTGCAGTGTTGTGGCCAGTTGATTAACAGAGG